TCTCTCTCTCTCTGTAGGTTGCAGTGTACCTTTCTCCATTTTTGATGAGTTTCTTCTTTCAGAAAAGAAGAATGAAAGGTTTGTTTTTGTTTTTGTATTTTAAGTTCTCTGTTATTATAAGTGAGAATGAATTAAGGGTTAATTGTTATCAGTGTAAACAAAAAGAATTACTAAACGGTGTATGTCTTTTTCCAGTCCTGCAGATAACCCACAAGTTCTAGCCCAACGAAGACCCCTTGCAGTTCTGAGAACTACAGAAAGCATCACCTCAAATGACATCTCTCCAGATGTTTGTGTAAGGAGCAGTGTCCCTAAGTACTGTAAACATTTCATTCAGATCTCTCCAAAGTTAAGGGTTAAAATTAAAGTCACTAACTTGAACTAAGCACATGAAAAGATGTCAGCACTGTTAGTCACCAAGGAAGTCAGAACCACAGTGCTGTAACCACTTGACACTCACTGTGATGGCCGTGACCAAAGACAGACAATGCCAAGTGTTTGGGGTAGGGTTGTAGTGAGATTATAATATTTATGCATTGCTGATGGAAATATAAAGCAGTGTAGCTGCTTTGGAAAACTCTTTGGTAGTTCCTCAAAATGTTAAATTTAGTGGTATAAGACCCAACAGCACTCTCCCACATACACCCAAGAAAATTAAAAACATACCAAAAAAGTCACACACCAAAAAAGTTATACACAGGAGTACACAAAAACAACTGATGACTAGATAAACAAAATATTGTATATCCCTATAGTGGAAAATTATTTGCCAACCAAAAGGAATAAAATATTGATACATGTTACAACATATAACATGATGAACCTTGAAAACACTATGCTAAGTAAAAGAAACCAGCACCAAAAAAGTGCATGTTATATGGCTCCATTGACATTAAGTGTCTGGAATAGGCAAAAGTCGTTTGGGGATTTCCAGAGGATTAGGGAGAGGGTGAAGGAAAATGACTACTAATGGACTTAGTTTTTGTTGTTGTTTTTGTTTTGATTAATGGATATGTTAGATAGGGGTAATAGTTGTATGCACATGTACATATACTAAAAACCACTGAAATGCATATACATTTTGTGTTATGTGAATTAGACCTCTTTTTATGTTGTTTGTTTATTGCTTTTGTTTTTGAGGTAGGATCTCACTATGTAGCTTAGGCTGGCCTTGAACGTGCAGCATTTCTCCTGCCTCAGCCTCTGGACTGCTGGATTACAGGTGTGCACCACACGCCTGGCTCAATTTTTTTTTTTTTTTTTTTTAAGATAGTTTAGCTAAGTAGTTCAGGCTGGCAGCTCTTTCAGTCTTCTGCCTCAGCCTCCCAGGTGCTGGATTGCAGATATATATCACCGTGCCTGGCTCAAATTTTTTAGAGTGGGGAATATTACTACTTTGACAGCCTTTTAAAATATATTATATGTATACTCTTTCTTTAAATGGTGTCTCACTGTGACCCAGGGTTCGGACTCCCAAGGTATTGGGATTATGGGTGTGTGCCACCATACCCAGTTTAACACTTGTGATTTTTTTTAACCAACATAACAAATGATGCTTGTTGTTTTTCATATAAAATGTGTTTTATAGCAATAGAAAAGTTATGTGGGCTAACCATTTTTTTCTTTTGTTATGTTTCATGTCGTTCACTTTGGGCTGGTGACATGATGATACTTAGGGTAATGAGACCCTGCATAAACATTCAAGTCAAAGTAAATAACCATTGTCAGTTGCATTTCATTGATATTTTAAGGAAGAAAAATCATCTTTCCCTTTTTTTCCAGCATCTGGAAACTTGTCATAAGGTTAAACAGAAGATTTTTACTGTGTAATGTGATCGGTAGCTTTATTGACTTAAAGCAGTATGTTCTGCACGTCCAAGGCAATGAATTATTTGGACTAAATTTTTAAAACATGATTTTTCTTTTTATTTACTTCTTTATTGAGGTATGTTTTATATCCAGTAAACTGCACAAATATTGATTGTATAAATAGCTGAATTTTCACATCTGTGAATATTTGTGCTGTTTTATACCCAAGCTACGGAATATTTCCAGTGACTTAAAAGAGCCTACAGAGACTTGTGTAACAAACAGTAGCCAGGCTCCATTCCAGCTATTTGGAATTAGAATTTCCAGGGAAGAAGTTAAACTACGATTTTTCTTTGTTTTAAATACTTCCCAGATAATTCTGACATAGTTAATTCCCTGCGTGCTATGAAAACACAGTAATGCAAAAGCGCGAGTAATTATATACTGTGTTCTGGAGAACACCACCAGAGAGCGTGATGCTTAGGCTGATTTTTTGATGCAGTGGTTCTGGGTTCTGCTGTTCACGTGGGTAGGCTGAATTATTAAAGGACTCAGTCTTCATCTTGCTTTTTTCTCTTACAAACTTTGACTTGAATTTTATTAAGATACCTTCCAGAATTTTTATCCCTTAAAAAATCATATTTAAAATATCTAAACTTACAGGGCATAAAATGTATACTTAGATTATAGACATCAATATTTTATTTTAATCTTATGATGTTTTAAAATGTAACTCCCACCCCTATTTTGAGTCACATTGAAAGTATATGTCAAATTGATAATGATTTAGAAAATTAAAATCTTATATCCACAACAGATAAATGAAATAGACACTTTGTCTGCTGCAGGTAACTGTATAGTAAAGTGATATAAACTCAGAACAGCTAAACAAGATCTATAAAGCATCTTAGTTATCTTTAAAGAACCTTTCTTTTCTCCAGATAATTCTTTTGGGAATTAATCCTAGACAAATTAAAATGTTTGTAAAAATTTGTTTTAAAATAATTTTATACTAGTAAGAAACAGGGAATAACCTTCTTTGATTTAAAAATTTTTAATTATGTTCAGTAAATATTATATTACAGAATAGTGATACTCATTTTGGGAAATTGGCACATATAACACATCTTGCTAATTTTCACTTCCTTTTATCTCCCTCTCTCCCTTTCCTCCCCACTCTTTTGATCTCCTTCCCTATCTCCAAGAGTCTGTATTCTAGTTTCATATCATTGGTTGCTTCTTTTCTTTTCTCTTCTTTTCTTTTCTTTTCTTTTCTTTCTTTCAATTTAACTTGGTTAATTTCTAATAGACCCACAATGTGATCATTATGACTTTAAATAATTTTTACACTTGATCTTAGCCAAAAGGCCAAGAAGCAATTAAATAATTTTTAATCATAGAAAAAATGTATGAGAAGGAATAGTATAAAATATCATTATGCTAAAATTTCACTTTTTTCAAAACTCCCTTTAAAAATGCAAAGAATATGTTTGTGTATGTATACTACTAGATACATATGGTAATAATGATTGCTTTGGGGGAGCAGGAACAGGGTAGAGATGGGTGGTTACATGTAGAAGAGAGATATTCATTATATATTTTTAAACTAGTTGATTAAAACCATGTATATGTATTAACTTTTGTTTGTTTGTTTGTTTTTGTTTTTGTTTTTTGGTACCGGGGATCAACTCGGCAACTTTTAAAGACAAAATCATGTTTTAAAGGTGTAATAAAAATGTTGGATTGAGGGCTGGGGATTTAGCTCAGTGGTTCCGCCGCCTGCCTCGCAAGCAGAGGGACCCGAGTTCAATCCCTGGTACCAAAAAAAAAAAAATGTTATATTGGGTAATAGTATTTTGGGTGATTTTTTTTTTTTTTTTACTTTGCTGTCCATATTTTCTGTCATCATCCGTTACATTTAAGAAATTAAATAAAAATTAAGTATGTGGCATAGAGGAAGACTTAAAATTAGGATAACAGATTCTCAGAATATTTTCCAGGTGAAAGCCAGAAGAAAAATAATATTAGTTTGTTAGTTACCAGGTGAAATGAGTTGGCAAAATTTCCTTGTGTGGAGAATCTTCACAGTATATTTTTTCATGAAGTCTAGTTTATATACAAAGCCATTTTTCCTCAAATACTACTCTGTTCCCTTTAAAATTGTCTTTACCCTAATGTGCTACTTAAGTATCCTCTGTCAGTAATCTGACATCATATCTCTAAAAACAGGTTGTTCGTGTGTTCACTGAAATATTTCAGCTGGGCTTTTATGGTTTTTATTTCAGGATGAACTTACAGGAATTGAGCCTTTGAGTGAGGATGCCATTATCACAGGTTTCCGGAATGTAACTATTTGTCCTAACCCTGAAGACACTTGTGACTTCACTAGAGCAGCCCATTTTGCATCCACTCCTTTTCATGAGATAATGTCTTTGAAGGAGCTCTCTTCTGATCCCGAGAGGCTGTTGCAGGAGGAGGATATGGATGCAAAGACCTCTGAGGATCAACAAACTACATGTGGCACTATGTATAGTCCAGCCCACAGCATCAAGAAGCTAAGGTGATTGAGGATTACAGGTTTTACAGACCAAAGTGTTAGCTCTCATATTCTGCATGTGCTTTGTAAATTACAGTGATTATCAGGCTCTTGCTATGTGCTAGGAACTGACCTACTAAATGCTTTATATAAAATGAGGGCTGCCCCAGATAAAATATCAATGGTGTTTAGTGATTGGCTTGATGTATTAAAAGAAGTACATTTGGATAGTTATAAAAATAAGTGGTCGGCGAGGATTTAGCTCAGTGGTTTCGCCGCCTGCTGCGCAGGCACAAGGAACCGAGTTCAATCCCCAGTACAAAAAAAAAGAGGTCTAGGAGGATTTTGATACCTTTGAGGTATACTCAGCAAAAGTGTACTCGTTTAGGAAAGAGAAAATTTTAATTTTTCCTTAATTTTGAGTTTAAAATAATGGTAGAATAGCTGATGTTGATTTCAAATAGTGAACTAGAGACATATTAAAAGTATATTTTGAGCCGGGCGTGGTGGTACACCCCTGTACTCCCAGTACTTGAGAGGCTGAGGCAGGATGATTGCTCTGAGTTTGAGGCTAGCCTGGATCACGTAGTAAGTTCAAGGCCAGCCTGAACTACATAGCGAGGCCCTGTCTCAAAAAGCCAAAAAAAAAAGTATACTTCAATAGATGGAAATGATTTAGGAATAGATATGAGAGAATGGTATAGAAAGCCAGGGATTAAGCCTGGTGATCCACTCATCTTCTGGTTTGGTTTGGTTTGGTTTTTTGAGACAGGATCTTGCTATGTGATTCAGGCTGGCCTCAAACACACAGTGATCCTCCTGCAGCCTCCCAAGTGCTGGGATTGCAGGTGTGCCCCACCATGTCTGGCCAAAGTCCATTCATCTTTAAAATTTAGTCAGCTAATTTAAACTAATTCTAGTTTTAGGAATATTCTTTAATTTGCCAACCTGTGCTTTTAAAACAGCATTTTCAAACTTTTTCTAACAAACTTTTTATTACCTAGCATGCATTCATGCTGCATAAATTGGGTTTCTCTTTTCCTTCATGTTTTCTTACTGAAGACTGAAAAGTCCAGAGAAGGGGTGAAGGGGAAAAAGTTAGTGTCAATGTTAGTATAGATTTAGATGTAGTATAGTTATTTACTATAAATTGTGTGAATAAAGTATAAATCCAGAAATGTAATTCTGGGCCTTTCTTATCAATCAAGATAGAGGAGGTTACCTAGCTTCCAATTTTGATTTGAATCTATTTCTGCTTTGGGAAATAAAGGACTTCAGAAATGAAACTAACAAGATTATAACAAATTACAAATTATTTTAAATTTTTATTTAAAATATTTTAAAATTTGTTAATTAAAAATCATAGAATTATAACAAGGTAAGTTGATATTTATTATCCTTATGAAAATTGGTTCATTTTTGTTCTTTTAGCCCAATTATTGAAGATAGTCGTGAAGCTACACACTCTTCTGGCTTCTTCGGGTCTTCTGCCTCAGTTACAAGCACCTCCTCCATCAAAAGTCTTCAGATTCCTGAGAAACTGGAGCTCACCAATGAGACCACAGGTGGGATCATGCAGCTAACAAGCAAACATCCAGATCCAGCCCAGCAAATGCCTGTTTGTCTCAGCAAACTGAGTTGTATGCTGTTCCCTAAAGAAGTTGCCAAGATTGCACTGTTATCTAGAATGAAGTAGTATCAACTGGATATAGTGAAGATCTCCAGCAGATAAAAGTAGTCAGATTGGCAGTGTTTGTTTTGTCATCTCATTTCCTCTGTTATATCAATTTTAAACATTGACTTTTCCTAGGTGATGTTTTTTCAACCTTCTCCCTCCACAGAAAGCCCTGTTCAGTCACCCTGGTGTACACAGTATCGTAGACAACTGCTGAAATCCCTCCTAGAGTTAAGTGCTTCCGTAGACTTCTTTGTAGAAGATAGACCAATGCCTAAGTTGGAGGTGGAGAAGGAAATTGAATTAGGTAAGTATCATTGAATGTGTGTCCTTTTGGCGTGACAGTATACACAGAGTGGTTATTTGTGGTTGAGCTTGACACTTGAGCACTACAAATGTTTCTAGATATTTATAATGTTCCTGAGAAATAGCGCCATGGAGGTTGGCCCATTGATAATTTCATGTCCCAGTAACAGTAGGAACTGTGTTTGCCTCTCTTGATGTTTTTGCTGCTGCTGTTTCTTTTTGTGTGGTGCTAGGTTTCAAGACCCAGTACCTTGAATGTACTAGGCAAGGGCTTTTACCACTGAGCCATATCCTCACTCCCATGTTCCATTTTTAACACATTATTTTGAAAAGTATTCCACATGGTGAAGTCTGGAAGGCTGTATCTGTTCAGTGATTTTTAAATGGAATCAAATTTTCTCCACAGGTAATGAAGATTATTGTATTAAACAAGAATACCTAACATGTGAAGATTACAGGTTATTCTGGGTGGCACCAAGAAACTCTTCAGAGTTAACCATAATAAAGGTAGAACTGATTCTTCGTAATTTCAATTACTTTGTTTAAAAAGTGGATCAAAGTAGTAACTATCCCAATCGTACCATGAAATCTTTCTGTTAGTCTCTTGGCTTCCTCTTGGGAAAGTAAGTCATCGAGCCTTAATCAGTTACCATTGTAGGCCAGGATCAGATATCAGAAGGGAGAGACCATTGTGTAAACCTCTCAATGTGATTAAACATAGTATATTTCTATTAATTTGATCTTTTTGAGTAAATCTGTCCTAAAATTTTGTGACCTACTCCATTCTGGACAAGTTATATTCTAGGCTTGTACATAAGATGTTACCTTTAGGTCCGGGATTTAGCTCAGTGCCCACCGTGCCTGCCTCACAAGCACAAGGTCCTGAGTTCGATCCCAGGCACCAAAAAAAAAATCTCTTTCATATTAGAGGCTTTCTTTGCTTCTTTGGGTCCCTATTAATATTTATGTGTAGAACACTACAAGCTGATTAAAAGCTCTGTGTAGACAGAGGGATGTTGAGAATGGTCGACCTTGTAGTAGGATGATGTAGATTGGTTATTTTATTGGAAAACTGAATTTTTAAATCTTTTCCCTTGAACTGATCAGATCCTCCAAAGAAGATTTTTAATTTCCTGCCTAGAGCATGTAAGCTTGGCTGCCATCTTTCTGAAAGCTAAATGAGGAAATTAGTCTAGAGAATGGAAGATCAAGGAAGCACTTCTTAGCATTTGATACATAAACTTTCCTGGTACCCATATTCCCATCTTCAATGGTACCAAGTGCCCTCTAGTCCAGAGCCCTTTCTTTTGAGCTCTAGGGAATAAACTTTTGATCTCCTGGAATGAGGGAAAGGCAGTTGCTAGACCAGACTACAGGAGCAGGAGGATGAATATGTGGTCTAACTTCCCCTTAATTGGGGTTCAGTGGCTCCTATTTTAGCTCCACCTTAGCCTTACTTCTTCCATAGACAGTTGGTTCTGCCAGTTACATACTGTAAGGAGGTGATCTTGCAAAGTACATGTGGTTACTCTTCAGTTTTCTCCACTGTTAGAATCAGTTTTTCTTGGGTCTTCTAAGTAGATCGTTACTCTTTCCAGCTTCCAGAATTTTGTTGCCATTGGGTTCTTTATTGTTGAGTTATGCCTTATAAAGTGTCTCTTTGTGGCTGGAAGTGTAACTCAGGGGTAGAACACTTGCCCAGCATGTGCAAGGCCCTTAGTTTGATGCCCTACATTTGGGGGGGGGGGCTTTTATTCTTTTTTCTGTGGGGTGTACGGAAGACTGGAAGGAATATGTTTTCAATCTGCTAACCATAACCACAGATTCTAATTACTCTTAATTTTAAAATACAATGTCTTACAGGTGTCTTCTCAGCCTGTCCCATGGGACTTTTATATCAACCTCAAGTTAAAGGAACGTTTAAATGAAGAGTGTGATAAGTTTTACAGCTGTTACCAGTACCAAGATGGCTATATTGTTTGGCACCAATATATAAACTGCTGCACCCTTCAGGTGTGTAATAATAAACACAATTAAAACAGTCAAGGAAAAAGATTTATGCTCCATTTAGCAAAGAAATTTAATACAAAATTCCTGTCAATCTTCTAGAAATAGACCAATTAAATTATAAATTTAAAACATTTTTTCTTTACCTAAATTATTTTGACCAATGACTTCTTTAGTATTTTTTAACACTTTATTTTGACAAAAAAAGGGGACAATTATGCAGTGAACTCCCATGAACTAGTCATCTATCGAAGTAGAGTGGTGGCACGCCTATGGCACCTGTGCCACAGAAGGCTATTTGTATCATTGAAAGCTCTAAAAGGTTCGCCATCACACATTAATCATTAGCTCATGACCACTCTTGTTTTACATGTGCCCCACCCTCACCCCCTACCCTAAATTATTTTTTAAAACCAAACACAATATGTCATTCCTTGGTATGTTTTTAAGAAAGTTTTGTTGCAGATTTGATAGTAACATAAATTCTCTAAAATGGTCAAAGTACAAGTGTTTGAAACTATTTGTACAGTACCTGTTAGGTGCCATCTTCATCCTTGACGCTCTTCATCCACGATCTCATTAAAGCCTTTCAATATAGAGTTGTCAGAACTGGGATGTACGGCCCAGCATACATTCCAGTAGAGAACAAGTAGGAGGCCAGAATAGCGTCTGTCTGGTCCCAACTTGAGAAATAATGGGTTTTCTGTCCTTCTGTTTCCAGGATCTTCTCCAACACAGTGAATTTATTACCCGAGAAATAATAGTATTGATTATTCATAACCTTTTGACAATAGTGGAGAAGCTTCACAAAGCAGAAATAGCCCATGGAGATTTGAGTCCAAGAAGCCTGATTCTAAGAAACAAGTTGGTCTTTACATTCTCTTATAGTTGTCAGTTTTCTCTTAAAATACACATTATTGTTACTATTGTTCTTATATTATCGAGTACATTGTATTTGCTACCTAAAAGTCAATAATCATTCAGAGTAGTTTGAAAGAATTCAAAGAAAAAAACACTTTGAAGAAATACACTAATTCATATAAGATATTCAACCACTCCTGAGTATTGTGATGATTCTTGTCCCAAAGATATAAAGTGTGGATATTTTTGTTTTGATTTGGTTTTTTTGTGAGGTTTGGGGTTTTTTTGGAACCAGAAATCGAACTCAGGACCTTGCGCTTGGCAGGCAGGCACTGCGCCACTAAGCTGTAAATATGAGTATTTTTAAGCATGTGAAGAAAATTGTCTAGTTATTTGAGTGGGGCCAGTGCAGATCTAGCAAGGATGCCAGCAAAATAGAGGCACTGCTCAGTTCCAAAGACCAAAGCATAAGTTAGTTCAAATTAAGATAATAGCTAAGAAAAGTTGGTAGAACCAGAGCACAAATACAAGCTATGCCAAGAAAGGGGGCTTAGTAGTTCAAATTAAACCCATTTTATCCACAAATTCAAAGGGCGGGCACAGAGCTGGAAATAAGAATGAAGCTCAGATAATAACTGAAAAAATGTAGAAAATGTTGAGGCATGAACAAGGCAGGACAATCCGAGACTTTTGTTTTATGAAAAGAGGTAGCGGACCAGCCCTCCTCTCCCTGCCTTCGGGGATTGCTGATCTAATGGTATTTGAGTAAAGTGGCCAGATTTAAAGATGTCATGTCTGCCTCAACCAGTGTCTAGGGAAGCAGTTAACTTTCTCAGGCCGTTACTATGAATGAGGAGCTGGAATCCTTTATTTTACATTTTTTCTGATTACTTAACCTGTAAGAAAAGAACTGAATAGTTATCATAGAAATGAAAAAGAATCCTTAATGTATTTCTGCAATTATAACCAAAAGAATGAGAAGATCACATCTTCTTTCCTGAGAGAGCAATCTTAATGGCTTCCCCAGACATAATGTAACAGACAAAGTCCCATAGGTATCTTGGATGAGACAGTTCTTTGTGCAGGTCAGTTCTAAGCAATGCACAAAGTTTATACTCTTCAAAATTCCTCCACTCACCTAATTAAGTGTGAGTAATGTTCCCCCAGCTACTGTGGCCACTAAAAATTCTCCCACATGTTTTTGAATGTGAGAACAGGGGGCATAGATTTTATTTTCACCCTATTTCACAGCACAGGACAGTTTCAGAGTTCTCAGTGTGGTGGAAATTGGAAGCACAGGTATTGTCTAAGCCGTTTTAAGGGGCATTTGTTGTCTGTGTATTCAGATAGTCCATCTCTGGTGACTGGTAACTCCCAGGAAAGCATTTAGCATAAAAGACATTGCTAGAGGACCGGGGATTTGGCTCAGTGGTGCCACTGCCTGCCTCCCAAGCTCAAGGTCCCAAGTTCGATCCCTGATACAAAAATAAAAAATAAAAATAAAAAACATTACTAGGGCCAGGGATTTAGCTCAGCGGCACTGTACCTGCCTTGCAAGCTCAAGATCCTGAGTTCAATCCCCGGTACCAAAAAATGGACATTGTTTTTTTTTTTTTTGGTACTGGGGATCGAATTTGTGTCCTTCCGCTTGCGAGGCAGGCAGCAGAACCACTGAGCTAAATCCCCAGCCCCAGGACATTGCTTTTTTTACTTAATCAAATATGACAGGAAATTTCATGTAGAGTCACAAGAAATTAAAAGCCAAAAAGAATTTTTTTTTTTAACAGTCTCACTATATATCCCAGGCTGGCCTTGAACTCACAATCCATCTGTCTCAGCCTCAAGTACTGGGATTCAAAAAGCAACATTGAGGTCAACCAGTTTGATTTCTACTTTTTTTTTTTTTTAAGAAAAATGAGATCCAAAAAATGAAATTTTGCCCATAGCAACAAGTTAGTAGCTGGTAAGAAGGCTAGTGAGCTTTCATGCTTCTTTTTATTAATCTAAGAAATATTTTTTTCTACTTCTCCCAAGTTTTAAAAAGAAATTTTTTTGCCAGTCATAGTGGTACAAGCCTTTAATCCCAGTACTTGGAAACTTACACAGGAGGATCATGAATTCAAGTCCAACTTGAGCTACTGGCGAGACCCTGTTTTGGGGGCGGTGGGGAGAGTTGGTACTGGGGATTGAACTCAGGACCTTGCGCTTGCAAGGCAGGCGACGGAACCACTGAGCTAAATCCCCACCCCAAGACCCTGTATCTTTTTTTTTTAATAATTTTTAAATGATCATACTTTTATGGTGGCCAAAAATAAGTTGGATCTTGTGCCAAGAGAAAATGGGAACAGTTGTAAATTCTGAAGTAAAATCGTTCTGTGTTGTAGAGGTGAGTGATGAGATATGTCCTGTATTTAAGGACATAGGATCTGCACCCATACAATCAAGAGTTTGAGCAAACTGAGAAAAATAGAGAAAAAATAATCCATCCTTTCTCTCAAATAGTTCTCTATCTCCTTAGAGAATAGCTTTATTATGCAAAATATAATTAATTGATCATGAATTTGTGTTATATTTTCTTAGAAATAAGAGCTGTAATTACAAAAAAGATAGGCTATGATGTTAATTTAATAGAAAGAGGCAATTTTATAATACAGGTAGCACTTTACCAAAACAACCTTCTGTTGTTTTTCATTAAGCCCTGGAAGGAAGACTCAATGATATCTGAAAAGCCTGTCTTAATAGTAAACAAGAAAGGCTATGGATCTACAAAAGCTTCATTTCCTCCATCAAAATCCCTGTCAGTATATAAATCATTGCTATTATGTATTGATGTGTGCAATCTAGAGCGGAAACCCACACCATATTTCCAGTGTTTACTGTATAATATGGAAATTTGGTAAATGTTCGGGTGTGGCCATGTGTTATGATTTACATAGATCAAGTGTCTCCAAACTGTCCTTAACATTGCCCACTTGCGTGAACACTGCTGCTGCTCCTATGTGTGCATTTTTGTAATGAGCCACTCGGGGGAGCTGTTGGCATAGCTAAGTTGTTCCTGCAAGGGGTTTTTTTGTTTTGTTTTGTTTTTTTCTTTTCTTTTTTTTTTTTTAAGACCAGCTATTGCAGCTTCTTTCATGACCTCTTTTTATTATCTCTTTCTCTTAAATCTGGGCTCAGAATCCACGATCCATATGAGTGTAATAATAACAGTCAAGCTTTGAAGATAGTGGACTTTTCCTACAGTGTTGACCTTAGGGTCCAGCCAGACGTTTTTACCCTCAGTGGCTTTCGGACAGTACAGATCCTGGAAGGACAAAAGATCCTGGCTAAGTGTTCTTCTCCCTACCAGGTAGGTGTAAAACAAGCCTGAGCAAATATAGAGGGAGTTTCCTTTTTTTGGTACTGGTGATCGAACTTGGGTCCTTGCACTTGCAAGGCAGGCGGCGGAACCACTGAACTAAATCCCCAGCCCTAGAGGGAGTTTCTTAATCCCTTCCTTACCTAGATAAGCTGTGAAAGCTAATGTTTGCTGGTGTTGACTCTCCTGGAATAGATGACCTGGTTTTCCGATACTGTGTCACCAAGTTGAGCAAAAGATGCCATTTTTCTGTCACAGTGCTGAAGGGTATACACATACACATGCAAGCACAGAGTGATTCAGTAACCTAAGTGCCAGGAGCATTTCCACTACTTAGCATCCATGTAATCTTCCTAACTCATTCTATGAGCTTAATAGTCTCTATTCTTTGCATCAGAATTGATGTTAGGTTTAATGCAATAATATATTTTAAAAAGAATATTAAGACAGTGTAAAGTATTTTATATGGTAGCATTATATGCAAAAATCTCTTGTGGGTGAGCTGTAGATGCAAGCGAGGCCTTTTGCTATCTTCGTACGTAGATAAACCTAAAGTCATGTGGCCCTCATTTAGATCACAGGTGGGATCCTGCAAATTCAGGAGTAGGACTGGACTGCACATTTGATCTGATGTCCACACGATTACTTGTCTTTTGTTCGTAAAGATAATCTCTAGAGTTGGCTCTATTGATGATTTCTTAGGGGAGCTTCTTCCTTTCCTGTAAGGAAAAGGAGCAGTCCACTGAAATGTGTGTCATAGAAGAACTTTAAGCTCTGTAATATCATTCGACTTCCTATATAAATAAGCTGCCATGGTAGCTGATGGTGCTTTTTGTGATTTCAGGTAGACCTGTTTGGAATAGCAGATATAACACATTTATTATTGTTCAACGAGCACCTACAGGTCTTCTGGGATGGGTCCCTCTGGAAACTTAGCCAAAATACTTCTGAGTAAGTATTGGTGATTTCAGGGTCTTTGCCCATCCAGTTTTTTTCTCTCTCAGGTGATCTGTCTGCTTTAGTAACCTTAGTTTTCTAAAACCAAACACTGTGATTTTGGTAATTTGTTTTCACTAGAATATCAGCAGAGTTCCTGCTAATTAAAAATAAGACAAAAATAAATAAAAATAAGACATAAACTATTGAGACTTGAGAACATTCTAAACCTAGGTATACCATACAAATAACTAATGTGGAAGCCTCTCAGTTTAAAGTGTTAATAGAAACATTTTAGGAGAATAATTTTCTTACCAATTGGTGTTAGTCTTAAACTCTTCTAATAGCTGTGTTATCAAAAGTTAATAAGTATCTCTTGAAGAGAGTTAAGTTTCTAAATTATATACTGATTTTAGACTATTATTTATGTAATGAATGGGTAGAACTAAACCAGTGAACTGACTCTCCTGGTGAAAAAGTAAATGATCTCTTAATAAGAGCTGTTTGGTCTCAGAACCTTACTACTCACTCAAGCCTGCTCATAAAATTTATTAAATATCTTATGTTCCACTTTAGCTTTTCTGAGCCAAAACTTTCTATCATAAGCTTATCAGTTATGACTTCAGGAGCATTCTTCATTAAAAAAAAAAATCAATGTTGAAGATTTAATGCCCCCTCTTCACGTTCCCCTCCAAACCATTGAACTGCTGAGGTTTGAACCCAGGGCCTCACACATGCTAGACAAGAGCTTTCTGAGTTAATATCCCGAGCCATTTTTGTTTTTTTATTTTGGGACAGGGTCTCACCGAGTTGCCTAGGGTGGCTTTGAAATTGCCACCCTCCTGTAACAGCCTCCTGAGCACCTGGGATTATAGGCATATGCCCCCAACCTGTCTCTTACATGTGCTATTTAAACAGGCTTGAAACACAGCATAAGATAGAGAGGATAGTCAGCCAGTCAGCCCTGGTTGGCCATGGTCCATGCAGGTCTGGCTAACAGCAGAAACGAGTGTGGTCAGTTGTGGTTTCTCAACACCCCTGCCACGGACAATGATAGAAGTTCTCTGGTAATAAGAAAATAAAAGTGCAGATACAAACATAAATTTAAGCAGGTTACTTCTGTCAGATTTAGGATTCTCAGAGAATTGTGAAGATGATAAACCACTTGGAGGGGTGGGGGTTTAAGAACCTAGGCTCTAGGAAAATTAGAGGAAATAAAATTTCTTTTTCTTCTATTTGTAGAGAAAAAAATGCTTGAAAAGTGCTACCCCTTAGTAAACAGAGGAAATTTACAGGTGCAGGCAAGAGAATTTCCTTCTCTTTATGTGCATTGAGTTACAGTTTTTCCTGCTATAGCAGATTCCTTTTGGAGTTTCCTGGGCTTTCAAAGGACTGTTTGATTCCTAACCCAAGAGTTCTAGGTGTTACCTTAAATGTACTGCTAAGTTCAACGAGAATTCTAATTTTTCATATGCCTAATCTTGATGGAACTGGTTTTTGTATATTTTTAGGCTAAAAGATGGTGAAATGTGGAATAAATTCTTTGTGCGGATTTTGAATGCCAGTGATGAGTCCACGGTGTCTGTTCTGAGGGAGCTTGCAGCAGAAATGAATGGGGTCTTTGACCCCACATTCCAAAGTCACCTGAACAAAGCCTTGTGGAAGGTAGGGAAGCTAATTAGTCCTAGGGCTTCACTCTTTCAACAAGATAAGCAAGCAAGTCTCTCACAGATTCCTTCCTAGAACCAATGGCTGCATTGTAGAACCCTGATCTGTATATGCTGTAATTCAACTTAGGGCACATATAGACACACTACCAGCACTTGTCTACTTTGAGTAAAGATGTATTTCTGAGTAACTGGGTTTAAACAGTGGTATACCTATCCTCAGCCTTGTCTAACTGTAACAAAGAACTGTTCTGTTCTAAATAGATTCCATAGGATGGGTACTCTGTTGTCCTAACTCCTTTGTTCTTTAACCCTTTTGTCTACCCCCTGTACTTTTGTACTCTTATGGTTATTACTGTGTGTTTTGTAAATAATAAAATAATGTTTGTTAAACTTGTGTTTCTGCCATTTCATCTGCCTTTTTCAAACTACCGTAATAAATGGCTTAATTTTGCAGAGATGAGCTTTGTATGTATCCTACATTTTAAACAGTTATGATAGGATTAGAACAAGCCATCCATTTCTTTAAGTGTTCCTAACCTTCCAGTAAGTGGTCTAGGTTGAAAAGCAGATAAAATGATATACCCCAGTGACAAAATTGTATACATGGTTTATATGTAAATATATATATATATATGGCTTTTACTTTTATTCACCAACCCTTGGTCTATTTATATGATCTAGTAGTGCTGCTGTTACTGCGTCTCTTGATTAGGAATGTGGTAATTAGAAGGAAAAGAAATATTTGGAAGGTATTTAGCAACCTTTCAGAAAAGAAGTAATCTATTATCACATATAGAATGAACTGGGGGAGGCAAGGATCAGTGAAGAAATAAAAAGGGGCTTTGTTTAAAAGATTTGAGGAAGTGGGAGGTCAGAATTAAAAGATAACTTTAAAGCATGGAATAATTTAGGAGAGAAGAGACCTAAATGAAGCATTGAACACCCAAAAGGAAACATGAATTACATTTGGCCTTCAAAATACAGAAGGAAATTGATAGAAATGGGCAATGAGAATTATCTAATTACCTATTTTATATCTAATGCTATCTAATGTGTCTTCATGCTGGTGCCTGATTTGTTTTTCATTCCTGTTGCCACTGTTAGTGCTCTAAGATTGCTAAAAAGCAGAACTCCTAAGTATGTCTCAACTAAAAATATTTTAGCATACTCTGTGTACTTGAAGCACTGCAGTATAATTTGGACCTGAGAGGTAATCAACTTAGAAATACTTGCTTTTACCCAAAAGACGGCTCTTTGAGATCCTCCCAATTTGTTGCTCATACAATGATGGGAACGACAGGCCTGCATCTCTCATGTAATCAAGGCCTCCACCTATCCGCTCTCCTCACCTCATTTTCCAGCCCCTCTGTGCTGACACTTCGTCATTACTCTCAGCCCAGGCAATACATTCAGATTCTTCTTACCATAAGCTTAGCTACCATCTAGTGACTTCTTCAGCAACCTTCCAGCAAGGCTGCTGAACAAAGCTGTCTTTCCAAAAGTTCACTCAGGAAGGGAGGAGAATCAAAAGAAGCTGCTCTGTTAGAAAATTTGGAACTGTTTTGCCTCTGCTCCCTCCGTTCCCCATCCCTTCACACCTCAAACCTTATAGAGAGGAGAGAATGGTTCCAGACCAGTTAGGACTATGATGTCTTGGGTTTCTCTTTGCCAAAGCATAAAATTTGGTTTTTCATTTCCCCTGCATTTTTTTTTTAATATGGAACTCTTCACGAATTTGCGTGTCATCCTTGCGCAGGGGCCATGCTAATCTCTGTATCGTTCCAATTTTAGTATATGTGCTGCTGAAGCCAACACTCCCCTGCATTTTATGCTTGTCCATCTTGGGAGGAAAAAAAGGCTTTTGTCCCCCCAGAAGATCTGAATGGTTCTTACTCCTTATCTCAGTAAGGCAGAAATTAGCATAACCTTGGACCTAGAGAAAAAAGATACACAGGCAAAAGGTTAGATTTTTCACTTTCATTTGAAAAGAGACCATGGACTATATAGCACCTCACCATTCACTCTCACTGTTAGCTTCATCCTCTTAGGACAGTTGTATAGAAAACCTTCCACACAAATCGGAGCACTCTTAACTGATGCCAGACCTGAATCTGGAAACCAAAAGGCTTTCCTGCAACAGGAGGACTTTGGACTATTGGTTGAGCTTATCTCAAGGTAGGTAGGAAGCCTTTTAGAGGATTTAGCACAAGACTCTTTGAAATAACTCTTGTTGATTGATGTCTTTAGGCTGAAGTCTTTAAGCAAAGACAGCAAAGAGATGCTTTTCCATTGCCTTTGACAGTGAAGACCTTCCTTTGCAATAATTTCCTTCTAATCAGGCTCCTAAAATTAAACACTAGTGAGGAAGGTGCATTTGAAAAAAAATTTCATATGGTGAGCTTCAACCTTAATGGGGTCTTTTATTCCACCAAGAACAAAGAGTTATGAATATTGAGTAGGATAAAGGTAGCATTTCAAATCAGTATGGGAAGACATGGATTATTCAATAACTGGTGTTGAAGCAGTGCATTAGTACAGCTTGAACTCTCTCCGGTGCCACCACTGATTCACAGAGCATCTGTGTGCAAGTTAGATAAAGACCCCTTCCTCCAGTGGGTTCGGTACCTCCAAGTGCCCCAGAGCTTGACTGAGCTTCAACCCTTTACCTGTACAGCTGTTTCATGCTTTTCCTGAAAACCACTTTGGATGGCTCAAAAATTTAAATAGAAAAATATAAAAATAGATGATTTTGTAAACTTTTGACAAGATACAAAGCAAACATATAAGCAAGTTTGCTATTATAATAAATTTTAAAAATTAAATAACAGGGCCACCTCCACACAATGAAAAGCACCATAAACTTCACCTAGGAAAAGTTAGTCCTCCCTTGGGATCCTCAGGACCCCCAGGATACCCACATCTGAAAATGCTCAAGTCCCTTATATAAATGGGGCTGTGTTTGCACACAACCTGGATACATCATCCCACATGCTTACAATGTCTAATAAATATCAATGCTATGTAGTCATCATACTATATTCTTAAAATAATAGTGATTTTAAAAATGTGTTTTAGCCAGGGATTTAGTTCAGTGGCACCGCACCTGCCTCACAAGCGCAAAGTCCTGAGTTCAATCCCCAGTACCCAAAAAAACTGTATGTGTTTAATACAGATGCAGTTTTTAAACATTTTTTTGAACCAGAGTTGTTGAATCTGGATAGAAAGCCCACAGACATGGAGCCAACTGTACTTGCGCTGTCTTCCATCTGCATTATCTCAAGTCTCATGGCTGCTTCACCCACCATCTCCAGCCACATCAGAACCTTTCAGTGGTTTCCCATCTCGTGCGGCCAAAGACTAGCATCGCCTACAAAACACTGGCCAGTCTGATCCTTGCTGCCCTTTCCTTGCTCCTCAAACAGGCCAGCCTGTTTCCCTCTTTGTCGCCTTTTTGCTTGCCAGTTCTGCCCAAGTTTTTATTCCCCAGATAATCATATGGATAATTACTTCCCTTTAGTTAGGTGCCTGCTCAGATCAACACTTTATCAGAAAAGTCCATTCTCCTCAACACTATACCCCACATACCCACTGTTACTTTCAATCCCTTTTTACCCTAAACGTTTATATTTTCCATAGCACCTACCACCATCCCACATGTGCACGTGAATGTATGTCTTGTTTTTTCTGTATCCCACTACCAGAAATTAAGCTCCTTAAGGTTTATTTTGTTTCCTGTTTTAACCTCAGTGCTTAGAACGATGCCTGAGTGAATAATACTATTCACCCTAAGTACAGAAACCATTTTTTAAAAATTAAAAACCAATAGAAATAGACAAAGGACTCGACCAATCCACTAAAACATTTTAACCACCAATATACATGAGATGTTCAACTCCATTTCTAAATAAAATGCAAAATAAACCAGAAATTATCATTCAAAGTTAACAGCTGGGTGGGGGTTGGATATAAAAGTAGACCTGAAGGAAAACGTGAAGGCTTTTACTTTTCAATTTGAACGTTAATGAACATTTTGAATTCTTTGACCACGTGCATGTATTGCCTTTTTTTCTTTCTCTCTTTTTAATGTGTACTGGGATGATACAGGCTAAGAACTTCTGCCCCCCACCCCACCCCACTGGCGGTTGAACTCCTGGGCCATGTTTTTGTCATCGTTTTCCCTCTGTTTTAAAAAGTAGAAAGCCTGATCTGGGTGTGGGGGCGCATGCCTGTCATCCTAGCACTGAAGAGGCAGAGGCGGAAGTATTGCCACCAGTTCCAGGCCAGCCTAGGCTATATAGTGAGACCTTGTCTCAAAAAACTAACAAAGGGCCGGGGATTTAGCTCAGTGGTTCTGCTGCCTGCCTCGAAAGCACAAGGTTCCAAATTTGATCCCTGGTACCAAAAAAAAAAACAAAAAACAAAAAGTAGAAAAGCCTAATCTGTGTTTGGTGTGTTTTGTTTTAAGACTGGGAGATTTGGGAACTTGAGCATCTAAATATGAAAGCAGTGTTAGAAGTAAAAAGAAGGAGTATAAAAACTTGGGTTTCTATAAACTGGCTTTATATGATTAAGAAAAGAACAGAGAGGAACTTAAGCTAAACTTGTATAAACAGTTTTCCCATCAGCACATACTAACCAGAGGCCCGGGGGGGCGCACGACACTGGGCTGAGCCCTGGTCCTGTGCCACCTCAGCCTCTCCCAGGACAGCTCAGCCCTTGTGAGCAGGGGACTGTGTCTCTTGGTTTTTATATTCAGCACTCCCAGAAACTAGCACATAGTTCCCCAAAATAAGTGAATTAAAGTATTGAAAAAGGCAGCCACAAGGTGAGAGACTAGTTACATTGGCGTCTTGGTGGGGAAAAAAGTCTATCCCAGCCCCTAGATGTGGCTGGAATCAGTCTCGCTTTCATTGTTTGCACACCCTTTAAAGACTTCTTTTTCTTGTAGTGTTGGTGCTGGGGTTGAAGTACAGGGGGCTTCGCATGAGGGAGCAAGTGCTCTACCACCGAGCTATGTCCTGCCCTCTGCTTCCTCAGACTTTACAGCGCAGCATACTTTCAGCTCACAGTGTGTGCTTTGCTTCCTGTGTGTTTCATTCCGGCTCACATTCAGTTGAAATAGGTGGATTAAGGTATGCTAGAATTTCAGAGTAGTTTCATTGTACTAGCCTGGCCATGTGATACATTTTATTTAATTGCTTTGGTTCTGAAATTGGTCACATGAGGATGACATTTCATAAAAATAAATATCAATTAAAACCTATGGATGAAAAAATGGCTATAGAAGCTAAACATGGTAGCATATGTGCATCTCAGCTACTCAGGAGACTGAGTAAGCCAGGAGGACTGAAAGTTCAAGGCCAGCCTGGACGAGGTCCTGTCTGAAAATAAAAAGG